ATGTTAAACAACAATCGCTAACCATTGCATAATCAAACAATTATATTTATCGAATTCGTTATTTATCATCCGCTACCCACTTTCTGTTATCTGTCATCCGCTATTCGCTAATCACTACTCATTATTCGTTATCTGCTATCTGCTGAATTTTAACCGCTATACCAAACAGGTTTTAAGACTAACATCCTAATACTTTTAGTATCAGAAAGTTTTGATCTTCACTTTTCTGGTATAAATTATATCAAATTTAGTTTTAATAATTTAACTTTTATATAAAGTTTAACTTAATAATTTTATATAATAAATGAGTGATAATTAAAAATTTATTATTTAAATAAAAATAATTAATAAATATTACACATAAAAAAATTTAATTATTATCTATTTATTTTATAAAACTATCTAATAAAAATTAATGTAGAATTTATTAGCTTTTGCTTTTTCTTTTTCCTTTTTTAAACAAGAAAAAATTTTGGCGAGACAAAGGAAACATTACAACTATTTTAATAAAAACTCAATTCTTGACATGGATCAAAACATTTGATGTACATTGTCAACCCACTAGCGCTGCCAATACGCTTTTGTTGTGCATTATGTACGTAGCTTTGTATAAATTGTATTTGTACTCTCCATTAAAAATTGATAAAACATATACTGATATATTAATAATAATTATTAATTTTAATCTAAAAAGGAAAAGAGGGTAGAAATTAAAGAGAAACTACTTGGATACAAAACAAAAATATTATATTTACAATGACATTATATTATAATTTACGATATAATATGTTATTTTATAATTAATTTTTTTAATAATTTAATTTAATATATTACATATATTCATTTAATAACATATCATACTTATAATTATAGAATTGTTATTCAATAAAAACGTTCTCATGTCACAATCTGTTCGACTATATAATATAAATATAAATTGAAAAGGCAAAAAAAATTAGGATGCCTTATTCCCCAGACATCTAATTAATGTCAAGTGATGGGTAAAATATAATGTAAATATTAGTTAAGTATCATTTATTACATACTTAAGGCCCGTTTGGTATAATGGTTTTGGGATAGTAGAATTGTTAAATATAGGTGTTTGGTAAATTTATATATTTCGAAATTGTTACAAATAAAGTATTTGATAAAATTTTTATTTAGCGGTTTGTGACTAACGAATAACAATTAGAGTTTAAACCGCTAACGGATTAAAAAAACTAGTTTATGTAGCATTTTGTACCAAACTGTTAGCAAATTAAAATTTTTTAATTTTATTTACAAATTTATCTATTTTAATTTTTTAATTTGTGGTCACATTTTTTAATTAATAATTATCTAATAAATTTCAA